ATTTCATCTACTTAACAAGATGTGATACAAATTAAATCTGAAACGGTTGCAAGTTCTCTGACCTTGGCTTGACAGCTGACTCTTCAATTGCATAGTGGGGAATTGAGGGGAACAGAGAAGATAAATCAGAAAAGATTGGTCTAAGTGTAATTAAAATGCAATTGTTAATTACAATTGTGTAATTAACAATTATTAAAAAATTCCTATCTTAGTACTTTTTTTTAAATACAAACATTAAATAGTGTAATTAAAATGCAATTTCTTTATTTATTTAAATAAAAATTCCTATCTCTGTACTTTTTTTAAATACAAACATTAAATAGTGTAATTAAAATGCAATTGTTAATTACAATTGTGTAATTCCTTTATTTTACAAGGCCTAATTACAGTAATTAGCACACAATGCCCTAGTACAATTTGGAACGAGCTTGTAACTACTTTCTTTTTCATACTTTGTCCTTACTTTACTTTTCTGAATATATTATCTTTTCTACCTTTTCATTTACCTTACACCTCTATACTACACCTACTATTTTCTTCTTAAAATCCAAAAAAAAAAACCTAAGGAGGTTTTATTTAAAAACTTATTATTATAGTGTTTTATACTTTAGAGTTTAGAGTCTCATATTCAATTTTGCACAAGGCTTTTTATATGCCAGGGTCGCCCATGATGATGATGATGATGATCATGATGATGATGGTGATGATGACGACGACGACCATAATAACCATAATAATAATAATAATAATAATAATAATAATAATAATAATAATAATAATAATAATAATAATAATAATAATAATAATAATAATAATAATAATAATAATAATAATAATAATAATAATAATAATAATAATAATAATAATAATAATAATAATAATAATAATAATAATAATAATAATAATAATAATAATAATAATAATAATAATAATAATAATAATAATAATAATAATAATAATAATAATAATAATAATAATAATAATAATAATAATAATAATAATAATAATAATAATAATAATAATAATAATAATAATAATAATAATAATAATAATAATAATAATAATAATAATAATAATAATAATAATAATAATAATAATAATAATAATAATAATAATAATAATAATAATAATAATAATAATAATAATAATAATAATAATAATAATAATAATAATAATAATAATAATAATAATAATAATAATAATAATAATAATAATAATAATAATAATAATAATAATAATAATAATAATAATAATAATAATAATAATAATAATAATAATAATAATAATAATAATAATAATAATAACAATAACAATAACAATAACAATAACAATAATAATAATAATAATAATAATAATAATAATAATAATAATAATAATAATAATAATAATAATAATAATAATAATAATAATAATAATAATAATAATAATAATAATAATAATAATAATAATAATAATAATAATAATAATAATAATAATAATAATAATAATAATAATAATAATAATAATAATAATAATAATAATAATAATAATAATAATAATAATAATAATAATAATAATAATAATAATAATAATAATAATAATAATAATAATAATAATAATAATAATAATAATAATAATAATAATAATAATAATAATAATAATAATAATAATAATAATAATAATAATAATAATAATAATAATAATAATAATAATAATAATAATAATAATAATAATAATAATAATAATAATAATAATAATAATAATAATAATAATAATAATAATAATAATAATAATAATAATAATAATAATAATAATAATAATAATAATAATAATAATAATAATAATAATAATAATAATAATAATAATAATAATAATAATAATAATAATAATAATAATAATAATAATAATAATAATAATAATAATAATAATAATAATAATAATAATAATAATAATAATAATAATAATAATAATAATAATAATAATAATAATAATAATAATAATAATAATAATAATAATAATAATAATAATAATAATAATAATAATAATAATAATAATAATAATAATAATAATAATAATAATAATAATAATAATAATAATAATAATAATAATAATAATAATAATAATAATAATAATAATAATAATAATAATAATAATAATAATAATAATAATAATAATAATAATAATAATAATAATAATAATAATAATAATAATAATAATAATAATAATAATAATAATAATAATAATAATAATAATAATAATAATAATAATAATAATAATAATATGAGTTGCAGGGATATTGCTCTTTGGAAAAGTAACAAGATGAAGCATGCTATGGATTTTTCTGCTAGCTATCCCTGCTGAAGGTCTAGGACAAACCATTAGTCCTAGACAGTTTACTGCAATCTTGGCATACAGACTTGGCATCCCCCTATTTCAGCATGGTGCTACTTGTTCTTGTTGCCTTGGTAGTATGGATGCCTGGGGGGATCATGCCCTTCATTGCTCCAGTCAGATTGGCCCCAAATTCAGGCATAATTTGGTTAGGGATACTGTGGCTGATATTTGTTTCCGGGCTGGTATTTCTCATAAAATCGAGGCTCCCTTGGGGTTCCTTACGCAGCAAGGGGGTGGGGCTAAACCTGCTGATGTTCTTCTTTATGGATGGGATAAGGGTGTTGATGTTTGCTTGGATGTTACTATTGTTTCCCCTTTTGCAGGGGATGTTAATCTTGAACATTTTAAACCCGGTGCAGCCTTAACCAGAGCTATTGAGAGGAAGAAGCATAAATATGAAGATATTTGCAAAAGCAATGGTCACAATTTTGGTACCTTGGGCTTCACCACCTTGGGGGAACTCGGACCGGAATCCATTTTGTTTCTTAAACGTGTTAAGAGCCATATTGCTAGACATGATTCCACTTTAAGAGTTGGCAATTTTCTTTTTATTAGGATTGGATTAGCCATTAAAAAAGGGGTTGGAGCTCAACTTGTTGCTAGGCTCCCCACTTGTTATTTGTAATCCTTCAACTTTTCTTATCCTAATAAAATGCCTTTCCATAATAATAATAATAATAATAATAATAATAATAATAATAATAATAATAATAATAATAATAATAATAATAATAATAATAATAATAAATAGTTAAGAGAACAAAAATCTATGATCTTTACTCCGTATTGTTTGCACGTTATAACATGCAACATTGCTCTCCTTAGTTACGCACTCCTGTAGTTAAAGGGGATGTTTTCGGTTCTTTTCAAAGCCCGAAAACATAGGTAGAAAAGGAACAAATGAGAATGATATCTTATGCTTCTATAGTTGGAAGCCTAATGTATGATTAAGTTTGTACTCATCCCGATATCGCTTATATTGATGGAATGTTAGACCGGTATCAACATAATCTCGGTTTAGATCATTGAAAAGCGGCAAAGAAAGTTCTACGATATCTTCAAGGGACAAATGAATACAAACTAACTAATAGAAGAACTGATAACTTAGAACTGATTGAATTTTTGGATTCCGACTTTGCGAAATGCAAAGACGATGAGAAATCTACTTGGGGTATATCTTTATGTCAACATTCTGACCTATCTCGTGGAGAAGTCATAATGAAAAAATTGACAACGACCTCAACCATGATGGCGGAGTACGTTGATGTCTAATATGCAACTTGCCATTGAATGTTATTAAGAATCATAATTAGTGGACATAAAGTCGTGAACTCCATATCGAGACCATTGAAGATATAATGTGATAATTCTGCAACCATTACTTCTTCAAACAATAAGAGTTCGAGCGGTGCCGAATTCGGTGCCGAATTATATCTTGACACAAAGTTCTTGTTCATACATAAACAAGTAGAGGAAATCATCCTTTGTGTCGATTAGATTATCACTCATGATATGTTTCTGGATCCAATAACAAAAGGTCTACCACCCAAAGTCTTCCAAGAGCTCGTAACGAAGACGGGTTTTATTAGAGATCTTATATGAAAGCATATTATTGTAAACTTCCTCAAATGTCTTAAGTATTTTGTCTATACTAATGTATGCATGCACTTATTTCTCTATAGACAAATATATACAAATTAATATTGTATATTTCCATCATTTTGGCATTAAATTTTCTAAGTGCTTTATGTTAAAGTTTTAGTATAATTGGTGGGGGTCTTTTGTTGATAGCAACAAAATGACTGTATCTTTTTGCTATGACTTTAATATGAAACATCATGGGTATTAATTTTGGCCAAACTTATGAATACTCATAAAAAATGGTCACTCGGCCAAGTGGGAGAATGTTGGAATATTTTCCATTTTATATGTGGCCTTAGGACCATTTATAATAATTATTTAATTATTACTATTTTAATAGTAATTACGCCAATATGATATAATGTGTCCCCGTCTTACCTAAACATTACTTGATGGAAGTAATTGTAATTATTATAAGGGGATAATTGATTTCCCATTAAAAAACTCACAATCCTACAATCCTACAAGTATTGCACCAAAAGTCTACTTTTCCTGCCCCGGAGTTAGAAACTTGGGAGAAGAATGCTATTGGTATTGAGTGGATCAATCCTACAAGTATTGCACCAAAAGTCTACTTTTCCTGCCCCGGAGTTAGAAACTTGGGAGAAGAATGCTATTGGTATTGAGTGGATCATGACGAGAATGATAAAATGGGATAGGGAGAATATGATGTCGCAGTTATCTGCTAATTAAACACTATTATATTGATGCATTATGCAATCGTTGTCGAGAAATGCCAAGCGTGACAAACCTACTATACAAAAGTTGAAATGAGACTACTAACTGGTTTTAAAAATTCAATTTATCAATTTAAATATCGTATTTAACCAGATGCAGTTACGTTACAAGTTTAATTTTTATTTACACCCGAAGTTAAAAGAATGATATACTGTGACACCTCGAAAAATTTAATAAAATAAAATAAATAAATTTTATTGGTTAGCAAAATATTATGAAAGTGATTTTCTTAGAATCAGGTGAATCAGATAAAATCTTAACATCAGTGACATTTTTAACCAGATAAAAATGTTTCAATAATAAAAGTGACATCTTATAATGATTATGTCGAGACCTCGACTTAAATAGCAAAAGTGACAGTTTTGTAACAAGTAATAATTATACATATAACATAAATAATAAAATTGTCATTTTAATGTACAAAATGTATTGTGACGCACACACAAATAATCATATAAATAATGCTACGTACACAAATGAAAATGTTGGGGCTAAATTATATACTAGTACTACCTCCGTCCCCCTAAATTTGGGGACAAGAGAAGTTGACACGGTTATTAATAAAAATGAATTTATATTGAATTGATAAAGTAAGAATAAAGTAGGAATGATTTAGAATCACACGAACTTTACAAAAAAAAAATATGAGACAATTTTAATGAGACGGACCGAAATGGTAAAATGGGACAATCATAGCGGGACGAAGGGAGTACATTGTATCAAACAAGAGTTGACCGAAGGGGACCAAAACCCACCTACACACACAATGGACCAATGTATGCGAACAAGAAATACACATTCACGCACATGAATATGTTGAAGCAAGCTTATTGCCAACCTAAACTCACATGGGTTGTTCGTAGCTACAACCTCCAACCTCATAGTATAAATAAGCAAGAACAGACCTTCAGCTCTCTTCATCCCCAACCCTGCGACATATATATATACGTGTATATATATATATACACTACGTATATACATATATATATATATATATATATACATATACACAAATTTCGACCCTTCGTTTTAGTCAAAACCGAGCCATGAAAACACCATAGAAACCTTCCCCTTCTCGAGAGGAATCCAACGGTGAAAGAATCGTTGAAAACGATCGTGAAACGACGGAGAACAAGCTTGCCGGAGTTCCGCCGGGCTAACCGTAAAGACGGAAAACGGAGAAGAAGGAGGAGCTGCCGCTGCCGCCAACCCATCACTGACCTTCGCCGTCCCAAAACGAGTCCTCTACCACCACCGTATCACGAATCCGTCGAGGTAACCCCCTTCCCCCTGCCTAGCTCGTTTTCTCGAGTTCATGATCGAGGAAGAAGAAGTGTACACTTTTTTTTCTTCTTTCTCTCTTAGAAGATTGGGCCGTTTGGGCCAGGAGTTTTTATTTTTGGGCCAAGACTCCTAAGTAGTAGAAGTAATAATAATAATAATAATAATAATAATAATAATAATAATAATAATAATAATAATAATAATAATAATAATAATAATAATAATAATAATAATAATAATAATAATAATAATAATAATAATAATAATAATAATCTGCAAAATTGATAAATTTGAGATGAGAAGTATTAATGGTGAAATTGGCTGGAATAATTGATAGTAACTACTTGGATAAATTTGTTAATTGTTATTTAACATAGTTACATATTGTTAAATAAAAAGGAAATTGATGGTTCAATTAATAAAAATTGATAAACAAATATTATATTATAATTATTTAGTTGAACTTAGTAGAGAAAATTGGATCGTTATTGTTTTCACTCATTATTGGATTATTGAAGTGGATTAATAAGTTAACGTAATATCAAGCGTTTAAATAATTAATTAATAAAATCAGATTAAGTTGATGACGATTAGTTAATTTTAAATAATTATGTAATATTCGGATTGATTAATATAATTAAGAAATATGAATAGTTTATTTAAATATAATTCGGATATGTTTTGATAATATTGAAATACAGTTAGTTCTTTGAATGTTTTTTTTTATATGATGATATTTAAATTAAAATCTGATGTTGTAGTTAATTATATTTTTATTAGAATTCAAATACCGTAATTAATGACTGAATTAATAAGGTATTTTGATTAATAAAATGTGATTAACTCGAACAATTAATAAATGTACTTAACTAAATGAGTTAAATAGATCTTTTATATATAATTAATTAAGTAAATGAGTATATTTAAAAAAAAAATGATTAAGGTCTGATCTATTAATAAAATTAAGTTAATTGATTTCGTAATTAAAGATTAGATTTTTCAGAATTAATTAATTAATTGGAACTAATTAGTGATAATAATTAAATAATAGATTTTACTAGTAGACTAAAGTTCGACTAAGATAAATAAGTTAGTGACTAAATTGAAATTAGAATTAATCAGTTACTTTAATTAATTAAGTTTTAGCAGGCTATTTTCGGATAAATAAAATAATTAGGAATTATTAGTATGTATAGCCGAAAATTAAATAGTAGTAGAAGTATAAATAAATTAAGTAGATTAAAGACTTAAATTATATAGTTGAATTTTATAGTCAAGTAGTGCTAACTACTTCGAATAAGAGTAAGAAACCGAATTAATTAAATTCAATAATGGAGTAGTTATTAATTTTCGCACATTGATAATATTAAAGGAGAGATTGGCGAATTCGTTGAAGACGTGAACTAGATTTCGAGTAGGGTTAGAGCAAAAGCGTGACTTCGAGGTAAGTTTCTCTGCCGATCCAAAATCGTTTCCTCGTATTATATATGTATTATGTGATACATGATTTTAATGTGAGTTATGATGTATATGTATGAGATTTTGAGATTGTTGGATCTGTGATATTTGAGAAGTGAAACTAAATGCTTTTGGGTATTAAATATTTTATTTAAACATTTTGAGGCAGTTTGAGAAATTGAGGAATATTTTGAAGTATATTAATTCAAGATAAAAGAATGATTTCATAAGAGGTAGGCATCTCGGGAGTAATCCGAGGTGTTGGTTTTCCACGTCCCTTAAAATGTGGAGAGTGGTTAGGGCTACTACTAAGAAGAGATTTTTGAGTAACTTTCGGATCGATGATCCCTTTTAAGAAGGAGAGTTGTGGTAGCAGTAGTAGTTCCGACGTAAAAGGGCTGCTACTGCTAAGGGTGAGGATAAGTTTTGAGTGATAATTGGATCGATGATCCCTTTTAAGAAGCAGAGTTGTAGTAGTAGTCCCTAATCATTCAAAGATATCTTATTCAGGGGTAGTTGGTAGACTGAGTCCCGATTACTCGTGACGACTTACTACTCGGAGGGCTTGGAATCCCTTTTAGGGGGTGTGCACACTTAAGGTAGTCGTTTCGTTTCCGCAAGAGCAGTTGTGGTACCGGCACTCGTTCGGGGTGGCCGTCCGTAACCACGGTCCACCGGGCTCAGTCGAAAGGTTGAGCACCGCCCTTCTAAATTACTAGGAAGATAGAGAAGAAGTGAATTTTGAGAAAATCTAAGAGAAGAGTTACTATAGTATTTTCAAAGAAAAGTTGAGGACTTTATTAAAGAAGTGATTTTGAGAAATATCAAAGAGAAAAGGATTTTGGTGGAGAGTGTCATTTTTATATAGTATTATATGAAAAACTATTTTTAGCCAAACCTGATTATTTTACGGGGTTGGGTAGTACTTACTTAGCTCTAAAGCTAATTTTTGTTCCCTTTTCTTTGTTTTGTTTTCTGCACTTTATTTGTGCAGGTGATGATGCTTATGTGGACTGATGATTGTATGACCACGAGAGCGGTTTAGAGATGCCTTAGTCAAACCTAATTATAAATAAACAATCCAATTATGTTGAACACTTGTTTTACTTTGTTTGGTGATTGCCTGTGCATTCGGTTAAGAGATGATCGGATGTGGCGGTAACACCCATTTCCCATTTAATGTTATTTCCGCTGCAAAACTTTTTATCTGTTTTGAAAGAATAAATCAAGTTATTATCAATAAATCTATTATTTCAAGTATTATTTTGGGAGGGAAAATGGGGGTGTTACAAATTGGTATCAGAGCGGTTGGTTTTTGAAAGGATTAGGACACGAGGTAATAGGTCGTAGGGAGGAATTCTGTCAACGAGACGATAAGAGTCTGAGCTGGTTGGTGCATAATTGAGCCTTTGCGCTCGTCCAACCAACTGGGAATTTCTCCTTGTGCTGAAACTTCGTTGTTCGAAATCTTTGACGAAAACAATGGTTTCAAAGTGGGGATTTTCAAAATGTTTTTCGTAAGAACTAGGAGAATGAACATACTAGGAAAAGGACCTTTCTAGGAACGCAGTGAGAAGGAGAAACCTTGACGATATTATTGAGTTATGAAATGCTTGAGATGCTTGAGATTCGTGCCTATGTGAAGTATGTGGACATGTTATCCTCTGTATGTGTTTATCTGTCATAAGAATTTGAGTTAGTAGAGAACTTGCGTAACATAGAAGCCTTATGAATGCCTTAGTACTTAGTATTCGTTTTCTTTATTAAGAATCATGCCGCCAAGAAGGAACCCCCACACAACCCCAACCGTTGAAGAGCTTGCCCAAACTGTCCAACAAATGGCACAACTTATCGGAGCGGCTCAATCCTCGAACCGTGGGATTGATTACGCAACAAGAGTAGCCGGGCGGAACCCTCCAAAATATTTGGGCGAGGAGGACCATCTTATTTTGGAGGACTGGATTCGCACCTTCGACAAACTCTTTGACTCACTCAACTGCCCGTTGGAGCAGCGAGTGAACATTGCGGTGTATTACCTGCACCAAGAAGCGGACCACTGGTGGGCCGCCACCGGACCAGCACTTCTCGAGCAACCGGGCTTTGACTGGGAGGACTTCATAGTAGCTCTGCGTGATCGCTTCTATCCGGATCACGTAAAGGAGGCAAATTATGACGAATTTGTCAATTTCAAGCAAGGTGACTTGACTGTTCAGGAATATCACACGAGGTTCGTCCAATTGGCTCGTTTTGCCAAAGACCTTGTGTCAACCGAGGCCAGCATGACCCGCAGATTTGTTAACGGGCTTAACTACGGGGCCCAAAAATTCGTGACTGTAGCAGAGCCACGAAACCTGAACGAGGCATATAGGAAGGCTGGTAAGTACTATCTGGTACACCAGAAAGAAAGAGAGGCACAGAAGAGAGATCGAAAGAATGCTGAAATGGAGCAGCAACAAAAGAAGGCTAGAACTGACCGCCCGGAACAACGTCAAAACAATCAAGGCGGGAGAACCATCCATGGCCATGGTCAGGGGAGAATCCAGCCAACTCAAACACGGTACTACAAATGCAAACTATGCCCAAACAACCATCCTGGGAAGGATTGTGCAGGGAACGCGGTGAAGTGTTATAACTGCAACCGTATGGGGCATAGGGCGTATGAGTGCCTGGATGAGAAGAAACCCCGGATCCAGGGCCAAAACCAGGGGAACAACCAAACCGGGGGTGGGGATAATCCCGTGAACATCAACCGTGGTACTCCCAGTAACCGCCCGACGGAAGGCAACCATAATCAGGGTCAGGGAAGACAAAATAGCAACCAGGGCCGAATCTACGTCATGAACCAAGCTCAAGCGAATGCCAACGATGTTGTGTCAGGTACATTCCTTGTAAATTCCACACCTGCTCATGTACTGTTTGATTCGGGTGCATCCCACAGTTTTATATCCTCAAAACTTGTGGAAAAGTTAAAGTTAGAACCTACCGCTACACTCAACCTTAATGTAAAAACAGCATCTAATAAAGTTGTAGCTTGCGGGAGTGTTTTCTCCAATGTTTCTATAGTCATATCTAATACCGAATTACCCGGAGATCTAATCCAATTTGACTTGGAGGATATCGACGTGGTGTTGGGAATGGACTGGCTAGGAAAATATAAGGCGAGAATTCTTTGTGATGAACAAAAGGTGGTCTTGAAAGGACCCCACAAGAAGCGTGTATCCTACAGAGTGGTTACATCTCAGCCAGGCATGAAGCTGGCAACCATGCAACAAGTCAAACGATACGTCCGGAAGGGGTATGAAGTTTACTTATGCATGATCAAAGACTTAACATCCGAAGATCCAACCATTGACCAAATCCCTGTGGTCAATGAATTTCCGGATGTGTTTCCAGAAGAAATCCCGGGGATGCCGCCAGAGAGGGAAGTTGAGTTTTCGATCGATCTAATGCCGGGCACCGCACCTATTTCGAAGGCGCCGTACCGAATGGCACCAAAGGAGATGCAGGAGCTGAAGGAACAACTCGAAGAACTGTTGGAGAAGGGCTACATCAAACCGAGTGTCTCACCGTGGGGCGCTCCGGTCTTGTTTGTAAAGAAGAAGGATGGGAGCCTGAGGCTCTGCATCGATTATAGAGAATTAAACAAAGCAACAGTCAAGAACAAATATATGCTGCCTCGCATTGATGACCTCTTTGATCAACTGAAGGGGGCTAACACATTCTCCAAAGTTGATTTGAGATCCGGGTACCATCAAGTGAGGATTGCTGAGAAAGACACTCCGAAGACGGCTTTTCGAACGAGGTACGGACACTATGAGTTCACCGTGATGCCGTTCGGCCTAACAAATGCGCCTGCGGTATTTATGGATCTCATGAACCGTGTGTTTCGACCCTACCTCGACTTGTTTACTATTGTATTCATCGACGACATCCTGGTGTACTCTAAGACACCAAAAGAGCACGAAGAACATCTGAGGACAGCGCTGCAAACTTTGAGAGAAAATCAGCTCTATGCCAAACTCTCAAAGTGTGAATTCTGGAAGGATCGGGTAGCATTCTTGGGCCACATCATCACCCAAGAAGGTGTATCTGTTGATCCATCAAAGATCGAAGCAGTGATAGACTGGCCTACACCCACAACTGTGACAGAGGTCCGGAGCTTTCTAGGCTTGGCAGGCTATTATCGCAGATTCGTGAAGGATTTCTCAAAGATTGCAAAACCTTTGACTAACCTCACGAAGAAGACCACGAAATTCATATGGGATGAGGAATGCAAGAAGGCTTTCCAGGAGCTTAAGCAAAGATTAACAACCGCACCTATCTTAACCCTACCATCGGGTACTGAGGGGTTCGAGGTTTACACCGATGCTTGTTTGAAAGGGTTGGGTTGCGTATTGATGCAAAATGGCAAAGTGGTGGCCTATGCATCAAGACAACTGAAGACCCACGAGGTAAACTACCCGACTCATGACTTGGAACTGGCAGCGGTTATCTTCGCCTTAAAACTATGGAGGCACTATCTATATGGGATACAATGTAAAATTTACACCGATCACAAGAGCCTAAAGTACATCTTCACCCAAAAGGAGCTTAACATGAGACAAAGACGTTGGCTAGAACTCGTCAAGGACTACGACTTGGAGATTCAATACCATGAAGGGAAGGCAAACGTAGTTGCCGATGCGCTAAGCCGAAAGTCAACACACTCCTGCAGAGCAACATGGATACTACCTGATGAGCTATATCGGGACTTTCAAAAACTAGACTTGGAGGTACGGGATTTCGGAGAAATAGATCGGGAAACGCGGTTACTCGCCATGACCGTTACCCCATCTCTTTTCGATGAAATTAGAGCAGGGCAGCCTGGAGATATAAAGTTGGACAGAATCCGAGCTGGTATGACGAATGGCTTAAACGGACCATTCAAACTACACGAAGATGGTAGCATTCGACACAAAGGAAGGTGGTGTGTCCCGATGAAATGTGAAGAGATTAAGAAGAAAATCATGGAGGAGGGGCACAACACGCCTTACTCGGTACACCCTGGAGGCGACAAACTCTATAAAGACCTCAAAAACAATTTTTGGTGGCCAAAGATGAAGAAGGAGGTAGCTGAATTCGTGGCTAGATGCTTAAACTGCCAGAAGGTGAAAGCCGAACGTTGCAAGCCCAAGGGACTCGTGCAACCTTTAGAGGTGCCAAAATGGAAATGGGATTCTATATCCATGGACTTTGTTGGGGGCTTACCGCCAACCAAGTCTGGCAAAGACAAGGTTTGGGTTATAGTTGATCGGTTAACAAAGACCGCTCGTTTCATCCCAATGAACGAGACATGGAGCATGGAAAAGTTAGCTCGAGCTTACACCAAACATGTAATTAAATATCATGGAGTTCCACAAGACATTGTTTCTGACCGTGATTCTAGATTTCTATCTCAATTCTGGAAGGAATTGCAAGCTGCTATGGGGACGAAACTGAAACTGAGTACAGCCTTTCACCCAACCACTGATGGACAAACTGAGCGAACAATCCAAACACTCGAAGACATGCTTAGAGCATGTATGTTAGACCTACAAGGGTCATGGGACGAACACTTAGACTTAATAGAGTTTTCGTACAACAATAGCTACCACGCCAGTATCAAGATGGCCCCGTACGAAGCTTTATATGGTCAAAAGTGTAGAAGTCCACTATGCTGGAGTGACTTGACAGACAAAGTGGTGCTAGGGCCAGAGTACCTACATGACACCATGGAGAAGGTGAAACTGATTCAAGCCAGGATGAAAGCTGCACAAGATCGTCAGAAGTCTTATGCTGACTTGGGGAGGAAGCCAGCTGAATTCAAAGTGGGAGAAAAAGTCCTACTCAAAGTCTCACCGACGAAGGGAGTAATGAGATTCGGAAAGAAGGGAAAGTTAAGCCCAAGGTTCATCGGCCCATATGATATCCTCGAACGAGTGGGACGATTGGCATACCGTTTAGCTTTACCCATGGAGTTGGCTAAGGTAAGACACACCTTAAAACCTCTCGATGGTAAATATAATAGTAAGTGCCTCTCAAATACTAACGCTTGATGTACTTAGGTACACAACGTTTTCCACATTTCACAATTGAAGAAGTATATTCGCGACGAATCACATATCCTTAACCCTGAGGTACAAATCGTAACCTCACGATTTTCAAAATCAAATTCAACATGTCTAACATTGACTCAATTAGGTTGTCGAATTGGACGAAACATTGACTTATGAGGAAAGGCCTATCCAGATCCTTGATACAAAAACTCGTGAGACTAGGAGGAAGTCAGTTAAAATGGTAAAGGTATTGTGGTCTAACCACTTGGCCGAAAACGCCACTTGGGAGTCCGAAGATGATATGCGCAACCGCTATCCAAAGTTATTTGAGTAAGGTAATGTTGTGATTACGGGGATGTAACCTTGTAATACCTCTTAAATTATAAGATATTTTATTAGCTTATGCTTCGGGACGAAGCATCTTGTAAGGAGGGTAGAATGTGACACTCCAAAAAAAAAAAAAAAAAAAAAAAAAAAAAAAATCATTAATATTAACTAAGATGTGGTATTCATTTGTGGATAAAGTTTCTTTAGTTTATGTTTCGGGACGAAACATCTTTTAAGGAGGGTAGAATGTGACACCTCGAAAAATTTAATAAAATAAAATAAATAAATTTTATTGGTTAGCAAAATATTATGAAAGTGATTTTCTTAGAATCAAGTGAATCAGATAAAATCTTAACATCAGTGACATTTTTAACCAGATAAAAATGTTTCAATAATAAAAGTGACATCTTATAATGATTATGTCGAGACCTCGACTTAAATAGCAAAAGTGACAGTTTTGTAACAAGTAATAATTATACATATAACATAAATAATAAAATTGTCATTTTAATGTACAAAATGTATTGTGACGCACACACAAATAATCATATAAATAATGCTACGTACACAAATGAAAATGTTGGGGCTAAATTATATACTAGTACTACCTCCGTCCCCCTAAATTTGGGGACAAGAGAAGTTGACACGGTTATTAATAAAAATGAATTTATATTGAATTGATAAAGTAAGAATAAAGTAGGAATGATTTAGAATCACACGAACTTTACAAAAAAAAATATGAGACAATTTTAATGAGACGGACCGAAATGGTAAAATGGGACAATCATAGCGGGACGAAGGGAGTACATTGTATCAAACAAGAGTTGACCGAAGGGGACCAAAACCCACCTACACACACAATGGACCAATGTATGCGAACAAGAAATACACATTCACGCACATGAATATGTTGAAGCAAGCTTATTGCCAACCTAAACTCACATGGGTTGTTCGTAGCTACAACCTCCAACCTCATAGTATAAATAAGCAAGAACAGACCTTCAGCTCTCTTCATCCCCAACCCTGCGACATATATATATACGTGTATATATATATATACACTACGTATATACATATATATATATATATATATATATATATATATACATATACACAAATTTCGACCCTTCGTTTTAGTCAAAACCGAGCCATGAAAACACCATAGAAACCTTCCCCTTCTCGAGAGGAATCCAACGGTGAAAGAATCGTTGAAAACGATCGTGAAACGACGGAGAACAAGCTTGCCGGAGTTCCGCCGGGCTAACCGTAAAGACGGAAAACGGAGAAGAAGGAGGAGCTGCCGCTGCCGCCAACCCATCACTGACCTTCGCCGTCCCAAAACGAGTCCTCTACCACCACCGTATCACGAATCCGTCGAGGTAACCCCCTTCCCCCTGCCTAGCTCGTTTTCTCGAGTTCATGATCGAGGAAGAAGAAGTGTACACTTTTTTTTCTTCTTTCTCTCTTAGAAGATTGGGCCGTTTGGGCCAGGAGTTTTTATTTTTGGGCCAAGACTCCTAAGTAGTAGAAGTAATAATAATAATAATAATAATAATAATAATAATAATAATAATAATAATAATAATAATAATAATAATAATAATAATAATAATAATAATAATAATAATAATAATAATAATAATAATAATAATAATAATAATAATAATAATAATAATAATCTGCAAAATTGATAAATTTGAGATGAGAAGTATTAATGGTGAAATTGGCTGGAATAATTGATAGTAACTACTTGGATAAATTTGTTAATTGTTATTTAACATAGTTACATATTGTTAAATAAAAAGGAAATTGATGGTTCAATTAATAAAAATTGATAAACAAATATTATATTATAATTATTTAGTTGAACTTAGTAGAGAAAATTGGATCGTTATTGTTTTCACTCATTATTGGATTATTGAAGTGGATTAATAAGTTAACGTAATATCAAGCGTTTAAATAATTAATTAATAAAATCAGATTAAGTTGATGACGATTAGTTAATTTTAAATAATTATGTAATATTCGGATTGATTAATATAATTAAGAAATATGAATAGTTTATTTAAATATAATTCGGATATGTTTTGATAATATTGAAATACAGTTAGTTCTTTGAATGTTTTTTTTTATATGATGATATTTAAATTAAAATCTGATGTTGTAGTTAATTATATTTTTATTAGAATTCAAATACCGTAATTAATGACTGAATTAATAAGGTATTTTGATTAATAAAATGTGATTAACTCGAACAATTAATAAATGTACTTAACTAAATGAGTTAAATAGATCTTTTATATATAATTAATTAAGTAAATGAGTATATTTAAAAAAAAATGATTAAGGTCTGATCTATTAATAAAATTAAGTTAATTGATTTCGTAATTAAAGATTAGATTTTTCAGAATTAATTAATTAATTGGAACTAATTAGTGATAATAATTAAATAATAGATTTTACTAGTAGACTAAAGTTCGACTAAGATAAATAAGTTAGTGACTAAATTGAAATTAGAATTAATCAGTTACTTTAATTAATTAAGTTTTAGCAGGCTATTTTCGGATAAATAAAATAATTAGGAATTATTAGTATGTATAGCCGAAAATTAAATAGTAGTAGAAGTATAAATAAATTAAGTAGATTAAAGACTTAAATTATATAGTTGAATTTTATAGTCAAGTAGTGCTAACTACTTCGAATAAGAGTAAGAAACCGAATTAATTAAATTCAATAATGGAGTAGTTATTAATTTTCGCACATTGATAATATTAAAGGAGAGATTGGCGAATTCGTTGAAGACGTGAACTAGATTTCGAGTAGGGTTAGAGCAAAAGCGTGACTTCGAGGTAAGTTTCTCTGCCGATCCAAAATCGTTTCCTCGTATTATATATGTATTATGTGATACATGATTTTAATGTGAGTTATGATGTATATGTATGAGATTTTGAGATTGTTGGATCTGTGATATTTGAGAAGTGAAACTAAATGCTTTTGGGTATTAAATATTTTATTTAAACATTTTGAGGCAGTTTGAGAAATTGAGGAATATTTTGAAGTATATTAATTCAAGATAAAAGAATGATTTCATAAGAGGTAGGCATCTCGGGAGTAATCCGAGGTGTTGGTTTTCCACGTCCCTTAAAATGTGGAGAGTGGTTAGGGCTACTACTAAGAAGAGATTTTTGAGTAACTTTCGGATCGATGATCCCTTTTAAGAAGGAGAGTTGTGGTAGCAGTAGTAGTTCCGACGTAAAAGGGCTGCTACTGCTAAGGGTGAGGATAAGTTTTGAGTGATAATTGGATCGATGATCCCTTTTAAGAAGCAGAGTTGTAGTAGTAGTCCCTAATCATTCAAAGATATCTTATTCAGGGGTAGTTGGTAGACTGAGTCCCGATTACTCGTGACGACTTACTACTCGGAGGGCTTGGAATCCCTTTTAGGGGGTGTGCACACTTAAGGTAGTCGTTTCGTTTCCGCAAGAGCAGTTGTGGTACCGGCACTCGTTCGGGGTGGCCGTCCGTAACCACGGTCCACCGGGCTCAGTCGAAAGGTTGAGCACCGCCCTTCTAAATTACTAGGAAGATAGAGAAGAAGTGAATTTTGAGAAAATCTAAGAGAAGAGTTACTATAGTATTTTCAAAGAAAAGTTGAGGACTTTATTAAAGAAGTGATTTTGAGAAATATCAAAGAGAAAAGGATTTTGGTGGAGAGTGTCATTTTTATATAGTATTATATGAAAAACTATTTTTAGCCAAACCTGATTATTTTACGGGGTTGGGTAGTACTTACTTAGCTCTAAAGCTAATTTTTGTTCCCTTTTCTTTGTTTTGTTTTCTGCACTTTATTTGTGCAGGTGATGATGCTTATGTGGACTGATGATTGTATGACCACGAGAGCGGTTTAGAGATGCCTTAGTCAAACCTAATTATAAATAAACAATCCAATTATGTTGAACACTTGTTTTACTTTGTTTGGTGATTGCCTGTGCATTCGGTTAAGAGATGATCGGATGTGGCGGTAACACCCATTTCCCATTTAATGTTATTTCCGCTGCAAAACTTTTTATCTGTTTTGAAAGAATAAATCAAGTTATTATCAATAAATCTATTATTTCAAGTATTATTTTGGGAGGGAAAATGGGGGTGTTACATATACTCCGTATATTGTTGTGACCTGATGCGATTAAGTACGTTATGGATTTCAAGTTGATTTCAAATATATATATAATTGTAATTGTAATGCTCTACTACAATAATGTTGCCTATTGTGACAACTAATTAAGAGTGTATCAACGCTACAATAACAAGCTTACCACCCAATTGAATAAAACGAGAAACACTGTCAATCTCTTGTTGATGATGTAAGCTAGCACCGCATTGTTGGCTTTAGTGTCGTTGATGGAACAATTGTATGGACATGGGTATTTGTCGATTATTCGCACGCCTTTTCGATCGAAATACCAATCTCCGAACAGTTCATAGATTTTCTGTAAAGATTAAAAAATAGATCACAATAAGTCAATAATTCAGCTTTTAATTAGTATGGAAGAAACGATAAAGTATATAAAACACAGTGTATATATAGTACAGAGTATATTCTTGCATGGCAATGGAAAGTAGTTGTGACCAAAATAAAAAAATTATGGAAATTAGTTGTGACCAAAATAAAAAAATTATTAGTGGACCCAGTATTTTCCTTAAATACTTTGTAATAAATCTAGTTTTAATAGTCATGTTAACTTCAAATTTTTCAGTGCATTATTTTCTATTATACTGCTTAATAAAGGAGTGGCACTGTTTTCTAAATTAACTGCCTTAAATGGTTTACTTTCTTTTCTTTCTTATCAACAATAATGTTTTTTTTTTTACAGAAAAAAAATCATCGTGGTTGTCTCATATAGTTATATAGTCTTTCATTTCTTTGAAAATGAAATAAATTAGTGGCATATTTTGACGAAACTTTTAACTACAGTGATACACATGCATGAAGTATTCAAATTCAATTAAGAAATTAAGTACGTATAGGTAATCAAATGATTTGGGTATACCTCATTGCTCCCATCTACAACCATGTCAGTATTCCATCTATAATTCGAAAGTTGTTCATGAGTTGTGGGAGAAGTAATCAAAATCCCCCTCGAAGTAGGATTGCCTAGATTAGGCAATACACTAAAAAATTCCAACCTCAAATTTGAGTGAAAATAAAACCCAATCAGTATAAGATATTTTAAAAATTACTAAAAAGTAGGTAGTGATAAACAAAGAAACAGACATTGGTAACTTTCTTCATGATGTCAAATGAAACGTTTAAACGTAGACAGTATGTTTGACAATGTTGCTAAAAATAAACTAAAATATTGAAGACCTTGCAAAAGAAAGAGAAATTCGTTAAGTTAATTTTTATGTTTCCATATCTCTCATGTCTCATACATTATACACATAGTTGCATTCCAGATGCATAAAATGCTAATAAGAGAACATTGTCAAACAATTCCAATGTCAAACTCATTTAGTTAAGAGAAATAAAAAAATTATTTCTGGATGCCAAAAAATAGTGTGATTCCCTTAATTAAAACTTCGTGAAGGTCAAACTATGACTTTTATCAAGATTTCTCTTTTTTTTTTTACTCCGGGGGGTCAGGGGGAGGGAGGCTGGGGGGCATGGAGTAATCAGAGCTGAAACTCACTCCATTGAGTTTCAAACCCTTACATATGCATCTAGCAAGATTCGAACTCGAGACCTCGCACTACTCACGGTAACCTCACAACCAGCTGGGCTGGAATCATTGGTTAACTATGACTTATATCAAGAATATGAGGGAGTAATTAATTGCTCTTATTTATTTTTATTTACTGTTACAATGATACACATACTTCTTTTTGGGAAAATTAGAAAATGATCTCTCTATGTATTCAACTTGTTAATAATGTGTATGTCAAAAAGTACTTTGTCACAAAAGTCACCAACCTTGGAGGGTTTTAATAATGTCACTTGAGCAGTTCATAGAATCAGTCAGACACTTTTTAATTGTGTCATTTCCTGCAAAGGTCCATGTGACCTGAAAATGATACTCCGTATGTATCTGAGCATTAATAAGAGCACTACCAATATAAAGAATCACATAATTAAGTAATTAAAACTGAATTGTGACCTGAACAGTATCAAATGCAGACATCAAGAAAAAGGTGGGCGTTTTGATAGATTGTTGCAGGGTAAAGGGTCCGTTTAGTACTTGAAATTGCATAAAAGGGTCAAATAAGTCATTACTGACCGGCCGTCGTCATTTGGGGCGATTCCCGGTGGAATTTTTTGATGAATTTGTTTGATCATCTTATTCATTAAGTCTAGTTTACTCATACCAAATTTCAACTAAAACTTCAATCTGGAAGGCATTCAAATGAATTCTTGAAAATAACTTCGCTTTTAACTACGCAGTTATCTTCAAGAATTCATTTGAATGCCTTCCTGATTGAAGGTTTAGCTGAAATTTAGTATGAGGAAACTAGACTTAATGAATAAGATGCTCAAAAAAATTCATCAAAAAATTCCACCGGGAACTGCCCCAAATACCGACGGGCAGACAAAGCCTCCTATATAAGGACTTATTTCACTAGTGGAAAAAAGGGATTTAATAACGGTTAAAACGGACTTTCAATAACGGTTCAAAACCGTTATTGTATCAGCACATATTAAAAGTCCTTCACATTTAATAACGGTTCTTGAACCGTTACGGAAACTATTTCATAACGGGTGATGCAGAACCGTTATTGAAACATTCAATATCAGCTAAATATTAACCCTTAGTGTATGTCCATTAAACCCCATAAGAAATGTATTCTCTTACGTCAAGCATACTAGGAGTCTAGGAGATTTTGCAAATACCACGTTTCCAAATATCACTAATTAATATATATCATCCAAATAACATTTATTATAACATCAAACACATATCATTAATCATAAGATTCATAACTAACAAAAATACAAAATTCACCAATATTGTTATTCAAAAAATATTCAGCAAAAACTAGCTATGAGTTCACAACACTCATCAAAAACTAGCTACGTGTTCACAACACATACTACTACTAATTTAATACTAATATGCTACTGCGTATAAAAATCATATCAAGTTCATAGCTTCACAGGAAAATGACACCAAATGCTCCTGTGTCTCGATGGTTTCTTCAGTGAATGAATCTTGAACATTAAATGCCTACAAATTAAATAATAAAAGTAAATGAATAACCAAATTTAATATTGAAAGTAAATGAATAAGTACAAAAAAGCTGAAGACAATTTTGGGTATGACTTGACGTTTCAATTTAAAGAATAGAAATTAGAGTATGATAACATGATGATATAGCTTGTTTGGAATATTACCCACTCTTCTGTCTAGGGAAAAGACCTTTTCCTAAACAATGAAAGAAAAAATAAGGCTAAGTGTGAATTGCATACCAACAGCTATCAAAATCAAGACATTTCACAAATATATTTGACAATACATTTAGGCATATAATTCAAGTGATGATACATATAAAGTTTCGTATGATCATATTCTCCTGGTTGGTTCTAGTGGGATACACAACTGCAAAACCCTTGGGCTGGTTACTGGGTTACACTTCAAAAGAATACCACTGCAGTTTACTAACTAAAGTGTTGTATGTTTCAACTATGGAAGCTAAATAAATTATCCCAAAATAGTTCAAACTTAATTAATATGTCGACTGCTGAGTTGCAGCTAAAAATTAAACCAACTTTGATGTTCATATTAAAATTTTATAGAGATTAGACTAACCATCACCAACATGAAGTTTGACTCTGGGATCCAAATCCAATACCTAACTTTGGAAAGTATTTTTTGCTAACCTGAAACAAAACAATCACAGTATATATTAAAGTAAACGCTGACGAAATAAAAAGGCATGCCACATGGAGACTATAATTGTGAGTCATGACTAACAAATGTCAACAAAGCAACGCGAGTTTTTTCTAAGAACTCCCCTTTCACCACCGCCAAAACAAGAACCTGCATTTACAACCACACTGGGTCTCATAAATTCAACTTAGGTAATTAGGTTCGGTTAGGTAAATTGCATACAGAAAAAATAAGACATCTAACTAGAGGTTAAAACATCCAAGGCACACATAAGTTCACTATTTTAACTCCATTCTATATAAAACAACCATTGTCAATCTGACGGACAAAATCAAATGTTAATATGTTACAACTCATGATCTATTAAATTCAGTGGAAAAATAGAATTAGTCAGACTCTAAGAACAACTCTCCACCAGAACTTCATGTCTTCAATTTCAGTCTCATTTGAATGACTCTCTAATTCACTTCAATAAAACATCGTCAATATTTGATATTTCAAAAAACAGTGGGTCATACTGGCCTAGCAACTTTCGACCTGAAACTAACTTTGGCAATCAAATTGCATCACTGGATCTTCAGATGAGTTATAAATCTATGCAGGTTCAAAAAATTGCAAAAGTAAAATAGCTCAAAAGCCAAAAACGAGGGATCTCCGGATATAATCAAAATGTATCCAAAACCTGCATTTACTTTCCCAAATACTCCTTACTAACTTAAACTGTCAACCCCACCCGCGGGACTCTAGAGAAAGAATACTCAAACTTAGTAGAATCTGACTGATGACCTAGCTGCCAGTTAATTACTAGAAAGAGATAGATAGTTAGATAGATAAAATGCTTATAGATGTAACAAAATATCTGATTTTCTACTAAATGTTAAAAGACAAACCCCAAGACCATTCACCAGGAAGATATTTTTCCCTTTAGTTTGGATACTCACTGCTATGGCAGTGATTTTTTCTTTTACTTATTTATTTATTTATTTGTTTATTTATTTATTTTATGTATAAGAAAGTTCAAAAGCATTTAAGTGGGAAAATACAAACACCAGTACCGCTAGTCCACTATACCGGTGTAATTAATTGTTGTACATTCGCTAAAGTCCCAAAGTTTTGAATTTTCAAACAGCCCATCGAATGCAGCTAATGTTTTATGATATCAACTACTACGTAACAGAGTGCATATTTCTTAATAACATACGCTTTCAAATCAACTAACCGCATCCGATATCATAAAGTGTGATTGATTTTAAACCATTTCAAGACACCTCACATCGCTCCTGAAAAAATCTTAAAGGTATTAATGCAGATTCCAACAGCCATTTCACCTGAAAGCATAAACAAAATATCAAAGTGTTTGCATCATCACATGGCTGTATCACCTTCATTACTTCTCTTGTAACGGGATTCAATCAAGCAAAATAGTTATGTTTTATGTTTCAACAAGGTGTACTTCAGAAAAGAAA